TGTGTCGTGGGGCTGGGGTGTCCGTGCGGGTAACGAAACGTGAGTCAGCAAAGCGCTCGGTGGGTCCGTGCTGCCGGGGCCGCCCTCGGGCGGGCCGCGGTTCCTCGCCGCTCATGGAGACCTTTCGTTTGGCAGGACGGCGCTGGTTTTGAAGCAGGAAGCTCAGCCTTTTGGCTCTGCTGTGGTCCTAAAGTGGCCAGAGGCATCAAGAATACCTGTAGCTGCTAATTACGCCTGAACTCACTCCGCGTCTGTTACTAAACCGTCCTTTGTGTTCTAGCGGTAGTAGAGCGCCGTTAGGCTAGAGCTCCGGTCTGTCTCTTGTTAAGGTGTTCAGACTTAAGCATGTTGTTGAACTCTATACACTGTACACTATAGCCATGGCTGCTGGAGGAATATAGGTATTGGGATGCTTTGTAGAGATTGGGCCACGTTTTGCATATTTGGAAAAGTGTAGTAACGTGGTTCGAGTCAAAATTGTTATCACTTATTCTGGTATTACTGATAATTGTCAGTGAATGATATAGAGAGGCTTGTTGAGTGCAGATAGGTTGTAAAGCCAAAGTAGGCATAAAATGGAAAATGCTGTGTAGTTAAAGAAAATTACAAAATAAAATGAAGTATGTTTTGGTTTGTTTCTGTTTAGATAATGGAGTCTCGTAGCTCTATCAACATTCACGAGAGTAAATCAACTTCTGAAAGTGAAGATGAGATTGAGTTCGTTGGAGTAAGTAGGTCTTGAACTGGAAACTTACTGCCTGTTATCGTAAATATGCTCTCAGTAGCCCAATAAATTGGAGGGGGTCTTTGTGTACTGTGTTGATGACCTTGATTATATTTTGATGGAAAGCGTTACTTTTGGATTTAAAGATAATTTAATTTGTACATCTTTGTGGCAGATAACGAGTTTATCTTAAAGCTTTAGCTACCCTTTCTTTGGAAGGGTATAAGATGATGTCAGTTGGTCCTATAGAGAGAATATAGACTTGAGTATCCCAGCAGGTGAGTGGGGGATTACAGTGATCAGTGAGGTATGTGAGAAGTCACTGTAGATGACTTTTCTGGTAATCATATTGCATAGCATTTTGCTTCATGAATAGTCCCACTGAAGTTAATGAAATAAAGGACTGCTCACTCTGCAAAACAATGTAAAAAACACTATACTTTGTTTAGAAGAAGAAGGAAATAATGGGCTAGAGGCCTTAAACAGTCTTCTTAAGTTGTGAAGCGCTGTATAATAGCTACAGTACAACACCTAGTCTAATGTTGACATGTGGCTTACGTGAATGTAACTTTAAGACACTTACATCTGTTGAATATCCAAGAAAAGCAGAATGTTTTTCATGCTGCCTGTGTTCTGGCCTCAATCCATCATCAGTGAAGTGGTGCTGGATGGCAGGGATACATGCAAGAACAGAAAGATGATTTTTCCTAAGGAACAAGTCATGTGAATAAGATCAAGTGGTTAATTGATGCCAGGACTAATAATGGTTGGCTTCCTAGGGATTTGTCTCATTTTTCATGTTGAACAATAACCAGATGGGTTTTGTTTTTCCTGTTTTGAATGGTGTTGGATTAAAGTTCAATGTACAAACTTTTTCTGCAGGGGTACTTAGGTGCTCAAGTATGAGGGACATGTTTATTTTTGCAAAAAATATAAGTAGTTGATTATGTCTGAGACTTCTTGGTCTTTTAGTTGATTTGGTCAAAATTGACTAATATTAGAGTTCAAAGTACATTATATACACACACACAAGCATTCATGTGTAGCATGATTGTATAAGCTTCATTTTCTTGAAACACTGGGCAAAGAACGAGGAAGCTAGTATAGCTTTGAATGTGTAATGATTGAAGGGCTGCTGGAGCACCAAGAGCAGTAATTGAAAGAAAAGAGACTTGCTAAAATCAATGCTTCTGCTACCTCTTTTTCCTTGGTTTTGCCTGTGGATAATACAGAGCCTTTGTGGTCCCAGTGATGATTGCTTCTGAGAGAGGCTGCTATATATAGGAAGATGACTGTGCTTAGGCTTGTTTGTGCAGGATTGGTACCTTGGGGTGAGGAGCTTACCGTTGTCATTGACGAATACAAGGGGAAAGGTGTGTGACCCTGGCCATCACCTGATGTCAGCAATGTGTCCTTGGATCTCTCATTTGCTCCTCTGAGTGAACGTGAACTTGGACTTTGCAAAAGGATTTCTAAACTATTTGGCTAGTTTTAGATCATCATTTCCATATAATAATGTGTATGACTAGAAGTGTATAAGCTTCATAAATGTTGTGTATGAATGCTACCTGATCATTGAAGTACTATTTTTTGCATGTCCTGAGGACCCAGTGCACCAGGTGGTACTGTATAAATTGAATTAGAGAAGCCACTTGGATATCTCAACCTGTGCTCGTTTTGAGAGAAAACAAATAGTTGTACGCCATGTGATCTCTTGTGTTTTTCTTTTTTTTTTTCTCTTGAAGGTTGGGTGTTTTTTTGGTGTGGGGATTTTTTGTTTGGTTTGGGGTTTTTTTGGTGGGGGGGGTTGTGGGTTTTTTTTCCCTTTCAATCACTTGTCTTGGGGTGTTTGAAGTCTTACTGTAGGACTATGACAAAAAGTCCTCATTTGATGGAGAAAAAGTAATCTCTTCTGCTGCCAGAGTTTTTGAGCTTTTACAGTCAGATTCACCCCCATTCAGGAAACTTCCAACTGTTATTCCATAATTGCTCACCTTTTAATTCTGCATTACAACATATTTTGTCCATTTAAAATCATTAAATTCTAAGTTTTGCATACCAGCAGAAAAATATAATTTCATCAACAATGCAAGCCATTATTCCTAATGGCTTAATTTCTTAGGATAGGATGGTCTGGCCCCCACTCTGTTTCCTTGGGAAGGATAAGGCAAGAGTGAAGAGTTTCACAGGTTTAATGAGGTCTATGGCACTTAAGTAGACAGATTATTCAAGTTGCCACAGTCTGCACTGAAAGCATTGGACTCCTGAGTTGTTTTGGTTTGTTTGTTTGTTTTTTTTAATGGCATTGATCCACTGATATTTTCTTCTGACTAATTTCTTTAAAGGTGAGGCTCATCATTATGCTGCTTTTTAAAAAAATACAAGTTATCCCTGATAAAGTTGGTGGCTTTCCTAGGCAGGTGCTTTTTTTACCTTTGTTACTCTATGTGGAACCTCAAAATAATACATAGTTTTATGGGGTGTTTAAATACCTCCTGACTCCTTTGTTGTGTTACAACGGCAAACACTGTTAAGGAGGGTATTCGTGTTTATTTTCTGTAAACATTTGTTAAGTACATAAAAAGATTATGTATCCAAAATAAAACTCAACTGGAAAATTGAAGATCTATGTATTTAAAAATTACTTTCATTTTCTGATGCAATGTTACATTTATGCCAGGTTTTCTTCACTATTGATTTTTATTTCAAAAGTCTGAATTTCAAGGAAAACATACTTCCATAGGCCCTGGTTTATTCAATAATGAGCTCTAAATTGATTTCAAGTTGAGATCCAGGAAAAACAAGCATACTTCATATACTTTGCAGCTTTTCCTTTTTACAATGTTTTGGCTGCACTTCGTAACAAAAGATACTGCCCCTTTCTGTCCTGGAGGAGTTGGAGCAGCCACTTACTTTCTTGCAAATGGATGTTTGTTTTTATTTCAAACCTGAAGAGGACTTCTGGACTATTTTGGGAACCAATGACATTAGAAAAATTGATTCATTAAAAACAATGGCAGTTCTTTGAGTTCCTACAGAGGTCTTAAGGAACATGTAAAGTTTTTGGTTTTCCTTGTAATTGTTGTTTTCCAATAAAAATGATATCTGAAGAACGCTTGGCCCTGGGATATACCAAAATCAAGGGATTTGTTGAAACATGATAGTTACCATTTAAATGTTTTGTTTCCTTTCGCCTTGAGGTGTTAAATATTAGATATACAGACTCAAGTATTTGTCTCTCTGGCTTTCAGTTGCATCACAGCAGGAACAGAATAAAATTGTAGAGGTGTTACAAAGCATCTCTGAAGCAGGACTTTTATTTTTGCTCGCAGCCCAAGTCAGCCAAGGATTTGGATTTTTGTATTTGCTAGGTTACAGAAATCAAAACTTTCTAAGTGCATGTTGGTTCACAACATTGGTCAGTTACTCAGCAGTCTTAAAGTTGGAAATCTGCTGGGACAAAGATTTAGAGCACGAATAGTACAACTTGTGTCCGATTTTTTTAATTTATTTTAATGTAAGCTTGTTCCATGATAATTTGTGTGTTTACATGTGTATACACAATTATGCTCGCATAATTATTTTGGCAAAGATATGTTAAGTCTGTGGTCACATATATTGAAAGCTAGTTTCACGCTTTCTGTATGCTAGTGTGTATATAACTATGCAAAAGTTTAATTGTGCTTTTTAAGTAAACTGGCTATTTGGTCTGAATGTACGTAAAGCTAAAAATGGAACAAACAAACCAAAAACCTTACATGATGTATCAGTGGACGAGGTGTCTGTTAGCTAGGCCTGATTACCCAGAGATTGATCGAAATGAGGGAGGGGAAGAAAGTGAGACCATAGCTTAGGACTCTTTGAGAAAATTTCTGGGGGCAGTAAAAATGGGCTTCACAGAACTCCTTGAGAAGGAACTGTCCATGGAGATGAATATGAGGCTCCATCTTTACCAGCCACCAATTAAACAGATTTGATTATATTAACTGTTACAATTGGTATTTTGCATAGCATAGTGAAATTACAGCTTTGTTGATTTAATGTTAATGCTTTCAACCAAAGCTATGAATAACAGCAGAGACACCACAGCTGCCTGGAGACTCAAAAGATAATTTTCTATCAATTAAAACTAGAAATTCTTCTAGTAACCGAAATAGCTGCAATTTAGCCATTGGTTTATTGTTCAGTGGCGTGGCTGTTGGTTGGTGAAAAGAGTGGCTTTTGAAGATTGTTTAGAGACATAATTGAGAAGTGGAGCATGGGAGGGGTGTTTGGGTTTTTTGAGGTTTTTTGAATGTGAAGGATCTGCTTATAAGATGTGAAGACTGACCATATCTTAGTACTGAGCATTGATGGCTTTCAGGGTGCCAAGTATGCCAGTATAGTCAGCTAGAGAGGCCACAACTTTCAGCTGTTCATTGAGTGCTTGTCCATGTTGTTTCTTCTGTAATCTCAGGCTCTTTCATGCCAAGATACTTTTCAGCTGATCGTGTTCATCTTGTGGGGAGGTACAAAGAGTTGGATGAAACTAACTGATCCTCGGCTTCTTAACTCTTCTACAGTGATGGAATCCTCAGGGTTGGCACTATCTTTGCATTATGTTACTATTTAGTTTAACCAGTTGGAAAAAATTAAGAAATTCAACTTCTCTTAACTTTCAATTTGGGACTCACCCTGTGCGGAGGTGAGCCAACAGAGCAAAAGCTAAATTCCTGCTGTTGAGAACTTTCCCTGCGTGTGGTACTGCAGTATCAATTGGAAATGTTTGCTAGCAATACCTGCTCTCTCTTGCTGGAAAAAGGATATTTCACCTGGCGCTACTTCTCCAATCAAGATTAAAAATACAGAAAGGCCATCTGAAGCTATGGCTTGCATGAAATACTCAGAAGGCCTCTGTGAACGTTTAAAGGGGAGAGTAGTCCTAAGCTCAGTCTCCCTCCATGAGGATGATTTCCATCTTGGGCCACTGAATAAAGAGGCTTTGAACTTCTGCTTTCATTTTGGTATGAACACTTTTTGGCAGAGAGGAGTACTGCTGTCAGGACGAGCCCAGGCTGAAATCACTGTCTCTTTAGAAGTAGTATTTGGAGTCTTTTTTATGTAATGGCACTCAGCTGGGATGGATCTAAACCAGTGTTTTGACATATAATGATGGCTTTCAATCAAGGTTTCTCATATATTGACTTAAGCAGTTGCTGAGTGGATATACTTGGGATAGGTTTATAAGAATTGGGGAAAACAGTTTACTTTCTCAACGTAATCTTTTGTAGTGCAGATGAGTTCTTGATCGGACCCAGGATTGTAGTTCTTACACTCTTAATTTCAGTATTTGTTTTTAATCTTCATCTAAAGGTTAAACTACCAACCAATGAAACATAAACTAGCCTAAATAATGCAAGTCCCAAATATAGCATTTATTATTCAGGAGTGAATGTAGGCAGATGGTGTGGTGGTTTGTTCCGCACACCCCCCCACCCCCCATTTTATTTTTGTGGAAAATAAGGGTGTATATCTTTGAGGAGTCATTTTAAAGAATTACCATACTGCATTTGTGTTCAAATTGGAATGCAACCCAAAAAGTAGTACACAAAAATTGTGTAGTAAGAGGCATGGAATTTGGGAGGAAAAAAGTGTTTTGTGTATGCAAACAACATGTAAATAAGTGTAATATTACTTGTGTTAAATTGAATTTACTGTTCTGGTCACTAGAACTTCCTAGGCTTGAAACCAACTTACTCTGCTTTTCAGCTGCCAGTTTCCTAACTTCTAATTAGTTGCTGAACCCAGGGAGTAAGTAAACAGAAATAAGGAAAATCTCTGCATTTGAAGAAGCTACAGCTGTTAGGATCAGAGTTGAACACTTCAAAACACATTATTGAACTGATTGGACAGTCAGGTGCTCTGAGTGTGTCTTTGAACTGTTACTTGCTAACACCTGTTGTTTAATAAAGATTTAATTTCTTGTAAGTTTATAGAGGTGGTCAGTTTCTACAAAAGCAAATCTGTCATGGATTTTTTTTTTTTAGATTTCATTTAGAAACCATGTTCTCCTTTATTTATTTAATCATAAAAAGTTAAGCATTCTTATGGGGTAATTTGAGGCCTGCAGCTTGATTCATATAAGCTTTTGTCATCTGTCCAAGATCTCATCCCTTTTCCTCCCCAGTGAGACAGTGAGGACTGTTTATGCCTGGCCAGCTGAACAGCTTTACAGCCTTGAAAGGTGGAAGAATGTAAAGAATGAGATGTAGTAAGGACAGCAGAGAGAATTGCATGCTGCTCTTCGCTACTTCTCATGAGGCAATAAATCTTCCTAGCTTGCCCTAGTTGGTTGATTGTTAAGACATTGAGGACATTTGCAAATGTATGGCAGAGATGGTGGATAATAGTACTGCACCTCTTCAAGAAGTCAGTCTGCTGACTATCGGAAGTCCTTCTGCCTAGAAAATTTAACTTTCTAACAAATAAAGGATACCTTTGGAGTATACAACAGCTCTGTGGTATCTGCCAGCAATATTGCCAGACAAATGCAGTTCAGTCAAAAACTGTCATATGACTTACTCTGCTTTTCAGCTGCCAGTTTCCTAACTTCTAATTAGTTGCTGAACCCAGGGAGTAAGTAAACAGAAATAAGGAAAATCTCTGCATTTGAAGAAGCTACAGCTGTTAGGATCAGAGTTGAACACTTCAAAACACATTATTGAACTGATTGGACAGTCAGGTGCTCTGAGTGTGTCTTTGAACTGTTACTTGCTAACACCTGTTGTTTAATAAAGATTTAATTTCTTGTAAGTTTATAGAGGTGGTCAGTTTCTACAAAAGCATCTGTCATGGATTTTTTTTTTTTAGATTTCATTTAGAAAACCATGTTCTCTTTATTTATTTAATCATAAAAAGTTAAGCATTCTTATGGGGTAATTTGAGGCCTGCAGCTTGATTCATATAAGCTTTTGTCATCTGTCCAAGATCTCATCCCTTTTCCTCCCCAGTGAGACAGTGAGGACTGTTTATGCCTGGCCAGCTGAACAGCTTTACAGCCTTGAAAGGTGGAAGAATGTAAAGAATGAGATGTAGTAAGGACAGCAGAGAGAATTGCATGCTGCTCTTCGCTACTTCTCATGAGGCAATAAATCTTCCTAGCTTGCCCTAGTTGGTTGATTGTTAAGACATTGAGGACATTTGCAAATGTATGGCAGAGATGGTGGATAATAGTACTGCACCTCTTCAAGAAGTCAGTCTGCTGACTATCGGAAGTCCTTCTGCCTAGAAAATTTAACTTTCTAACAAATAAAGAATACCTTTGGAGTATACAACAGCTCTGTGGTATCTGCCAGCAATATTGCCAGACAAATGCAGTTCAGTCAAAAACTGTCATATGAGGTAGATGGCATTGCATGTACAGACTTTTAAAAAAACCAACCACCACCACCCCCCTACCAAAAACTTAAACTATCTTTTGGTTTTGATTTACTTACTTTGAAGTTAGATAATAACTTACAGAATTTGGATGGGAAACTTTTTATGGCATCTGGAGATTTTAGTTAACTTTGCCTCTCACTGAAGATGTATACCCGTGGGACCACTAGGAATATTTTTGTTTGGTGTATGTAGGCTTACTCATCCTGTTTCATGTTCATTATACTGATTATTTAGTTGGCATGTGATAATGTTGTAGCATGATACAGGGGGGTTTTTTGCATGACATCAGCCTATGCGGACATAGTGCTTCTTTTTTTGCCTTCAAAAACTGAAGACTTGTCGCAGTGAGTGTGGATGGAGCTCTAGACATTGTTTTGTACATCTTCTTTAAAAAACTTACGACCTATGTGCTTAGTTTGGGTTGCTGATTTTAATTTTTCTTCTCCGTTTGCTTTTTCAAATATCCATGTATTTTCCACGTATTTGTGCCAACCAGAAGCCTGTAGTAGAAATGTTAAAATTGGTATGAATGGAGAGTGAATGGGAATATACACACACACGTGAGCATGTGAAAGCACCAGACAGAATGGGAAAAAAGGAGTCATATGAAGGCGTGTAAATCAACTGGTGTTGATACTACCTAGACTAGCAGGTCATTGAGGTCACAGACCATCTACACGAAGTTTCTGAAGACACTCAGATAAGGAAAGCAAGGGACAGCATTCACACAAATTAAAACCAGGCTTAAACCATTAAGGTGATTGCAGAAGACAAAGATCAAGGCTAGAGCCTTAAGACATCCTAAGGAGGAGACAAAAACAATCAATAACCTTTAGTGACTCACAGAGGAGGGGCAGCATGGAGAGAGACAAAAGATTGGAAATATGCGAAAGGAGCACATGGCTGCCAAGCTAGGAAGAATAGAGAAGTCCGAAGTACTTGTTGATAGCCAGGGTCCTCTGTCCTCCATATTGCTGCATGGAGTCCTGACCAGGCTTCCTGGATGCACATCTTTGCAGCTGAATGCTGGACAGACTATTTGGACGTGTGTCTCTGTGCTTTTGAGTATGTGGTGTGAATGGTGTGAAATGTGTTTTCTTTTAAAATAAAATGACCTTCCCCCTTATTGTGATTCCAGTACAGAGAAGACACTTGTAACCCGCTTATGGAATATCTGCTCAGAAAGTGTTGTGGTTTAACTTCAGCCAGCAACTGAGCACCACGCAGCTGCTCGGAAGAGTAAAAGTGAGAAAACTCGTGGGTTGAGATAAAGTCTAATAATTGAAATAAAATAATAATGATGATAGACTATACAAAGCAAGTGATGCACAATGCAGTTGCTCACCACCGGCCAAACGATGCCCAGCCAGTCCCCGAGCAGTGGCCCGCCCCGGCCAGCTTTCCCCCAGTTTATGTACTGAGCATGATGTCACATGGTATGGAATATCCCTTTGGCCGGTTTGGGTCAGCTGTCCTGGCTGTGCCCCCTCCCAGCTTCTCGCTGGCAGGGCACGGGAAGCTGAAAGGTCCTTGACTGGTGTAAGCACTACGTAGCAACAACTAAAACATCAGTGTGTTATCAACATTATTCTCATGCTAAATCCAAAACACAGCACTGTGCCAGCTACTAGGAAGAAAATCAACTCTATCCCAGCTGAAACCAGGACAAAGCGGTAGCCTTCAGGGCTTAAATGTGTATGAAACTGTTTCCCACTTTCTTAATGTTTGAAATGCCTAAGGAGTTTAATTTCTTTTTGTATTGGGTCTGGCGTCCAGCCAAGGTCAACCCACCACATTTTTGGAGTTGGAATTTAATTTGTGTCTTTTCAAAACAAACAAAACCAAAACAAACCCTGAGAAACTATTTAGCATTGCTTAGTGAAATTTAAGACTGTTCCTCTCTTGGTAACAGCTTGCTACCCTATTACCATTGAATTAATGGCGCAAGTTGTGTATCTTTAAAAATGTAGATCTAAGTTGACTGAGAAGGTGAAGAATATAAGGTTATTAAGCAAGCCAAGACTGTTAATTTGATTTTTTTTTTCCTAGTTGATACCTATATGTTAAGTTGATATTTTAATTATTTGTGAATACTTATTTATTTGCATGTTTTACCAATTTTGTGGATTAGTCTGTTAAGTGGAAAAGCTGCCATGCAGGAATTTCATTACTGCACCCTCTTGAAACCTTGATGAAATTCTCCTTCAGGTATTGCTAATGCTGACAATGTGCTGTAATGCATCCAACGTTTTATCTCTGAGGAAGACAATTTAATGCTTTTGTGTGTGTGTTTTTAACACTTTTTTTCAGGAAGGACCTTTAAGACCTGTACTTGAATGCATTGATCTTGTCAGTAGTGAGGATGAAGAACCTAACAGCAGTTCTTATGTTCACGTGAGTATGTTGTAATGTATTTTGGGACTTCTCATTTGAATAAAATAACTAGTCTCTTGTATTTTTTCCCATCAGTTACTCTTCACAAAAAACTTGTTAGAGGTATTTTTAACAAGTAATAAATAAATAAACCAACATTAAAGTCTCTTCATTTTTACCTACTGTTGAGTCGAAGGCAAGAATGCCAACACTTTGTTTTTTCGAGAGCCATTTTTTGCCTTCTTGAAATGGACTTGGAACTTCTAGTTGGCTTGGAGTGGTTTTAGCAAGTGTGTCGAAGAAAAGGTCACTTTACAAGTGACCTCAGAAGTCAGTGTGTCCAGTCTCTAGCCTGCAAATGTATCTGGCCTACTCCCAGGCCTTTTCCTTCTAAAACAACTTTTTAGGAGCAGTTTATAGGTTGGAGGACCTTATTCTGATGACAACCTGGTCTTAACTCAGCCTTATTCTTCATAATGCCTCCTAAGAATGTATGAGTCAGAAGCAGGCTGGTCAGTTCATGTATCCCCCAAGCTTATTGCGCTTACTCTGCGGGGCCTTTGAGAGGGACAGTGACTGAGAATGACTCTACTAGAGTTGTTTTTGGCAGCAGTGGCCATCTCTTGACTTCTGTTTTCCAGTGTTGCACTAGAGGCTGTGTAATAAACCTGGTTCTTAAGGAAAGATGGGTCTTCTGTACGTGCACAGGCTCACTCCACAGTGATGACTGCTAGAGCTGATCATGTAGCAGGAGCAAACTACAGTGTATGGCCTGTCCCTTATGCTAGAAAAAGCTAATGATCTGCCTTTCTGAAAATACCGGGCAATGTCTTAGAGCAAGAATGGTATCAGTTCTCAGTTTTTCAGATGGGCTGCACGTTGGCTTTGAAATCTTTAGGAATTTTGTTTACCTACTTAGAAGAATTTACTTAATTTTTAATTTGTTGGAGACTTCTAGGACACCCAGCACAATCATCCATGTTCCTTCTAGTGCTTTGATGAGACTAACGTTGATGTTGAATTGCCTTGAATATGTAGGGGAGTGGGGGTTGTTTTGTTTTTTAACAGAAGCTACAGATACTGGTAAATAGGAAGAGAAAACTAGCAAGATAGGTCACGGAACTTAGGATTGGAGTGTCTGTACTGAATTACGTCCTGATGCTTGGGCATCACTTTTCACTGTATTAGTGCCTGTTACTTAACAATTACCAAATAAAAGTTTAACTTTTCAATTGTAGAGAAATACAAAGCGTAAAGATCACATTGACTATCAGAAAGAACGAGTTGCGTCAACCTTGGATCGTCTGGCACGCCATGTTGAAGTAGAAAAACAGCAAAAAGAAGAGAAAAACAAAGCCTTTAAGGTACTGGACGTATTTTGTGTCAGTAGCATTGCATAATACAGGCCTCGTAGTCATGAGTGTGTGTGTTTTCACTACTAACTAAATAAAAAGATTGGTGAGCCAGACCTGGTCCTAGCAACTAGAGATTTTTGCTTCTGAGGCATCATTTGAAACATGATACAGACTTTGTCCCTTCAGTGGCTTTTAGCTGATCAATTTGCTAGTCTTACTGCAGTTCCTAAGGGGGGGGAAAAAAACCCCAAACTTCATGCAAGCCAATGGCAAAAACTTCTTCTTTTGTTCGTATGTATAGCAGAGGGACCTTAGCATCAATTTTTCTGGTTAAATAATTGAAAAATAACAGTTATCAGAAACCACCATGCAGCAAACCTAGTTATCTGCCTGCTTTTGTCTGAGATTTTTGGGAAGCTATTTGTCACATTAAATCTCTGTATCAGGTAATATTTTATAATGGCATAAAATTTTCCATGTATAAGGCATAATTTTAAAGTTGATTCCTATTAATTGTATTGTGCAACCATTTGAAAGGCATAGATTTTTTTTATGTTTATTACAAACTGGGAGGTGCAGTCAATAGGCTTGAAGGTAGGCCTGCTATCAGTGGGACCTGGACAGCTTGAAGGAATGGGCTTACAAGAACCTCATGAAATTCAACAGGGACAAATGCAAATCCAGTATTTGTGGAACATGCTGACTTTGCAGCGTAATTTTCTGAACACTGTTAATGGCTTTTAAAGTCACATAATTGTACTATAGTTATAGCTTGTTATAGTCTACAATAGACTATGCAACTGTAATACAACAGAGTAAAAGGCTGTTAAATATAGTCCAAGGTAGTCTTGAAGTCCAGAGGCCTACATCCCTCTCCTGTCTCCTCCACTTAGAATTTGGCAATCTGTTAATGTCTCCACATACAGTTTTTCAACTGTAAAGTGGAGTCAGAGGTAGCTGTGTAGCTTTTAAAGTAGTCTGAGAATGAAGGCTAAAAAATCCTTTTGTTAATGATGAATATTTTCCTGCTGGGCGGCTCCTCACTCCTCATCAGGTAATGCAATCTGCAGAATTAAAATTACTCTTCAAAGTGAAACTGCCTTTTTTTTTCTTGCCTCGGCAGTGGAATAAATTGACTTTCTGGTTTCAATAATCATTTTGTGTTGCCCTTTTTTTTTAATTTCATTATTATTTTTTTCTTTTTATAATCTTATAATCTTAAAAATCTTCTTGATTATGGACATGCTTCAGAAACTTCAGTAGGTGCAGTAAAAGTAAATTGACGTAAACTGTAGCTTTTATTAAGGGCACGAAAATTAGTACTGTTTTTCAATTTTTTTAATTGTTGTTACATTCCATCTTTATTGTATTATATAGAAGTCAGTCAAGTTGTAAGTTTCCGCACCCCTCCCACCCCCCCTAATCTTGAAATTTTTTAATTTTTATTTTTTAAATTTTATATTTAAATTTGATCTCCACCTTGCCTGATACGTTTTCCCCTTCAGGAGAAAGTTGATTCCCAATATGCTCACGGGTTGCAAGAACTAGAATTTATTCGGGAACACAGTGACACAGAAGCTGCAAGATTATGTGTGGACCAGTGGTTAAAAATGCCAGGTAAGAATAGGAAGCTAAGTTTCAGTGATACGTTTTTTAAATTGTGCATTGCAGAATAGAACATGTGATAATTGCTTTGAGCAGTACTACATTGAGCTTGCAGGTGCCTCTTATGCATAACCAAATCTGACAATATTAACTTTGCTAGAGTGTGGCATTTGAAAGTTCTTATACACTCACTTCCATAAAAGCTATTATTCTAATGTTTTGCTGCTTAAAAAATTTAATATACAAAGTCTAAAAACCACTAAGGCAGTGTTAACTACTTATATAAGCAAAGTTGCTAGAAGGAAAAATATTAGTGTTGAACTGTTGCTCAGGAAGATGTCTACATAAGTAAGTATAACTTCAGGAAATTCAATCAATTTAAAATATTGCCTGGAGGACCTGGAGGAAGGGTGTCAAAGTGTTTGAAAAGTAATCCTGCTGGGGATTGAAGAGACAGATTCTTCAACTGAAAGAGCAGACTTACTGCAGTAGGATTGAGTTACAGTGCATTGTTAACTTGCTTTTAAGAATTGATACAACTTGATTTTTAAATGCTTTAGGACTTGTGTGTTATTTTGTTTGTTTTCTCAAGCCTCTATAATTCAGATTCTGGATAAGTGCTTTGTTTGATAACACAGGTCTCAAACCAGGCACCGTTAACAGTGGAAAAAGGGGTATTTATAAGAGGGCAGGTCAGATGCAAGTCAACAGCAGTCCCATATCTTGTCCTGTGATGCATTGCAACAGAGAGTTTGATAACGGACATCTTCTCCTAGGTCACCTTCAAAGGTAAGGACATAGTGCAAGAGTAAGAAATAATAATGAAAGAACACGCTTGAACTTAGGATGTCAGCATCAAGTCTACTTTAAACTGCCTATAGTGACAAAATTCCATTTGAGAGCAGATTAATATGTTAATGGATTTTATATAGATGATGTGAGGAACTTCCTGGTTGGTTGTTTTTTTGTTTTCAGTCAGAATTGGTTTCTTCCTCTTGTTGAGCATTTTTAATATTTTTTTTGAGAAACAAGATTTCTGTTCTCCGGTTCTGTTATTTCTTCATCCAAACTTGAAAAAGAGCAAAAGGCTAATGTATACAACTCGATATTAAGATTAAAAAAATGCCCCTAATGAAGGGAAAGAGGAGCAAGAGCTATAGGCCAGACATCTGTTCATAGCTGATCATCGCTAGTCAGCCCTCACTGTGTCTGGGGTCAATTCCAGCATATACTGCGTTTTAACTAGTGAATGTGTCATGGGGAAGATGGTAAGGAGAGAAGCTGAGGGGAGCGTTGCGGGTTAACCCTGCTAGGCAGCTCAGCCCCACACAGCTGCTCACTCACTCCCCCCACATTTCGATGAGGAAGAGAATCAGAAGGGTAAAAGGGAGAAAACTGGGCTGAAATAAAAACAGTTTAATAACTAAAGCAAAAGCAGCGCACGCAAGCAAAGCAAAATAAGGAATTCCCATTGCTGGGCAGGGCTTTATCATACATAACGGTTACTTGGGAAGACAAATGCCATCACTCCGAACATCGCCCCTTTATCCTTCACCCAGCTTTTATTGCTGAGCACGGCGTCATATGGTATGGAATATCCCTTTGGTCAGTTGAGGTCAGCTGTCCCAGCTGTGTCCCCTCCCAACATCTTGCCTAGCCCCAGCCTACTCGCTGGCGGGGCAGTCTGAAAAGCAGAGGAAGTCTTGACGCTGTGCAAGCACTGCTCAGCAATAGCTGAAACATCCGTGTGCTATCAACACTTGTTCAAAAATCCAAAACACAGCACCGTACAAGCTGCTACGAAGAAAATTAACTCCATCCCAGCTAGAACTAGTGCAGGGAGGTAAAAATAAATAAATTTTTTAAATCCCTCTGTAGGAAATCAAGGCTTTGTTAGTTCTCTTGCTCTTAAAAACAGTATGATTCCTCTGTAAAGTGGTCATTATAACAGGTAAGCTGCAGGGAGAATCACCTCTTTACAGGATACTTCAACTGATACAGTTAATAATAGGGGAAGTGAGGAATTTTACAGTTTAGGTTGATTTGATAGGTTCTTGTCCAACAGCTTCAAAAGACAGAATTTTTCCCATTAAAAAAACATTTTGACTATTTAGAGGGGACTAGTTTGTTAATTATTTCTTCCTTTCCAGGTTTGATCATTCTCCTTGTGACCCAACAGTCACATTACATGGACCCCCAAATAATGCTGTTGCCTGTGTGATATGCTGCAAAAGATTTTCAACCTCTCAGCAGTACAGTGATCATCTTTTATCTAAGGCAAGATCATAAGGATAAGTAACTCTCCTGACTGAATGTAGTAGAGCGTTTTCAAGATGTATAATTATGCACTGATATTTTTTTCCTTTTAACCCTCTTTCTCTCCCCTCTCTTCTTTTAGTCTTCAAGATAGTTTTTCTTATTCTGCTGTATTTCAAACACCTGGTGTATCCTGACAGTACTCCCATTAGATCTGACCATTAGGTTGTACTTTCCAGCGTACTTTCGAGAGGACCATAAGTTCTGTCTTGAACCTCTTGTCCCTCTATTGGTGCTGTCAAAAAGTATTCTCTTTTTTTGCATCTCCAAAACTATGAAAGATAAAGACGAGAAGTTAGGGTGAAATAAGTGATGGTAAAGAGAAGCGGCAGAAAGGCGATGAGGGAGAAAAAGGCAACAGAATGAGAAACTTGAGTGATTCAGATTCAACTCTTTCTTCTGTTTCCAGTCTCTGACAGATGTATTTGCTGCTACTCACTAGTTAACTTACAGAAGGGAAAAGGATAATCTTAACATTTGAGTTATGATTTGAATATAAGCTAATAGTATTTGCTTTTTTTTTTGTTGTTCCTCCCTACCACCACTCTTTTCACTTCTTTTTTTTTGATAATGCTCTCTCTCTTCTGTTCTTAACTTACCACTGTAAAACCTCTCAGTTCAATGACAGATGCACAGGTGTTATCTTCTGGGTGCATGGTTTCATTTAAGCAGTCTGGTGTTGAATTAGATAATAGATAGCATTTTCAAAGTTTAGTGGTTTAATAAATATTGTTGTGTACCCACAGAGTCTCCAGAAGCTGTGTTAAATTCAGGGGAAGTTTTAGATACTCTGAAAATTGGACGACTATTAGCTAGTAGTAGTAACTCCTGATGCATAGTCATACCTGACAAGCTTGAAAGACTGCATCATAGTTTGTCCCTGCTCTTTTTCCATTGCTTCCAAGTTGTGTGCCTGTGGTGTGTCCAGGGGCATTAGCAGGAGTTAGACAAGTTTGGGGAAGGGAGTGGCTCTTGCAGCAGGCAAGAAGATGGGATTATTTTGGTGTGTAAGGATGGGGAGATAATCCTAAACAAAGCTGTGGAAGAAAGCATAAGCATATCATGAAGATTCTTTGAGTGACATAAGAAAGGAGTAAGCAAAAAACATCAGAAGCAAAATTAAAGGATTTTTGCCCTGAAGGCAGAGATCTGAAGTTGATGTAGAGGGCAAAGGGGGTGGAAGGAGCTGACTTCGATAAGTCACGGGCCTGTCAGGCTACTCTGAGGAGCAGCATTTTGAGAAGTTGGAGGTTAGCAAGATTAGGGAAGAACTGACATGAGGAAAAACAGCTGCTTTAATGACAGAAGGAGCGTTTTCTGAGAGCAGGGTAAAGGGACTAGCTAAGATTGGTGGAGCCCATAGTTCCTGGGGAAGGTGGTTGCTCCCAGTGGTGCAAGAAGGGAATGGAAAAGTTGCCAGTGTGGTAAGGATGAGTAGCTGAGTTTGACAGTGGCAGTTTGGCCAGTCCCTTGTGTCTCACGAGCTGAAGTGCATATGGGGGTAGGCTGTAGATACACATAGATGTGGTAGCTGAAAACCTAAAAGTGAAAATATTACCACAGAAGGGATAGAGGAATGGAAGGACATGAGGAGAACTGGGAGTGGTTTCTTGACCTTTTTTTTTTTTCCTAACTAGATCATTTTCTCTTCCAGCTAAATGAAAATGATGGACATAAAAAAGATCTCCCTCCACAGCATATTCAGTGTTTTGCATGCCCAAACTGCTTCCTCCTTTTCACCAACAGAGATGAATGCTTGCAGCATATGTCAGGGAAGAACCACTTCCTCCAGGTTTCTAAATTGAGTGGTATGTTGCTACTAAGTGTACTGTTTTTCATTCCTTCTGATAGTTGATCCTTATGGTATGAAGTGACTTACATTTTTCTGCTGTGTAAAAAAGCTTAAGGTTTTTAAGTTTGTTTTTAATGAATTCTTATTTTTCTTTTAAGGTCTTAAATGTGATACAGTTCTGTAAGAGGAGATGCTTTGAAATTAATATTTTTGTGTAGAAACGATTCCTCCGTCACAGTTGCTGTAATGAGAAGCAGACTTTCCTTTGTCTCTTATATAAGCCTCTCATCCTCCAGTGACTCTGTGCAACTACTGTCCTAAATAAGTTTACATTTAGCATGTTGATAGGAACTTGGACCAAAACACGTAAATTTCTTTTTCAATTCCAGTCAGACTGGCTGTGATGTTCCTTCCCCTTACTGTACTGTCTGAAGTCTGCTGGAGGCTATTTTTCTTGCCAGAGTCCTTGGCATTCCTGATGGAAAAGACCTGTGAAAGTTTCTTCTCCATATAATTGCAAATTTAGCCTGCCTGGCTGGAACTGTGCTGCTGGTCTGATGCCTTGCACTGGCCGCATTGCTACTGAAGGCTAAAATACTGGTTATGTTGTGAGCTGGTAACATCCTGAACCATACTTACTAGATTCCACAGAAGATACCTGTCTGGTCGTGGTCTTGAAAGCAGGGTTAATGACCATCATAGCTGTACTGACTTTTTAGCTTTGACATAAGCAATAGGCATTAAAGCATTTACTTTAATGTTAGGTAAATGACTGAGACAGATGAGAGATAGATGGAGTTGACTTCTTATTCAAGAAGCTGCCATATTTTAGATAGTGTAGCTTTCAGGATAAGCCTACATGGTCAGAAGGATTGGTTTAGTTATTTCTCATCTTCATAACTATATCTTCTACTTCTGCCCTCCCCCCAGAGTGGCTGCAGGAATTATACAGTAAAGACAGGCTTTGAAGGAGTCTTCCTGCAGGTTGAGTCAGTACTGCCATCTTCATGGAAGTGACAATCAGCTGCACAGTTCTGAGTTCTCATGTATTGTAAATCTAATGTACTTTTACTCTCAAATAGGTTATTAATTCCGAATGTGCTGACTGTAGATGCCTTTAAAATCAGGCCATAGGTTTTAAAAAAAGATTACTGGGTAGCTATTGCTTTGAAAAGATTAAAAGCACAAAATAGTGTTTTCTTCTTTAGAGATGGATAGCACTTAGCTCAGAACAAAAAAGCAAGTGCTCCATTTTTTCTTTTGCATTGGTAGGTCTTCATGACTAATATCAGCATGGTCTGTAAGATCTGGCAGTGAAGTTAGTTGAAAGGCATAACCTCAAATTACTGCCTGCTGATGATCACATCTTACTAAACAGAAAATTCAAAGAGAATTTGCCTCCTAAGATGCAGAACATTAACAGCAATATATAGTTCATAAGCCGTTTCCCATTCTCTTTTCAATAGAAAACTTTTTATTCTGCTGGTACTTGGAGTTAGACATGGAGTATGTACTCGGAACAACAGAAAGTCCTGCACCTAAAAATTTAAGGAGAATTAACACTGATGATGGGAAAGAGAGATGGTCAGAGTATGTGGGAACTTGTTAAATGAATTGCATACTTTCTTCTTTTTTTTAAACGCACTATGGCTTTAAACAAAAGTGTATGTAGTAAGAGTAGACAGGTGGTGATAGATGGAGGGGAAGAAGATCAAAAAGAACCTTCCTAGGAGAGATATCTGACCTGACCTTGTAGAAGGAGGAAAAGGGAAGTAGAGTCAGTCACGGAGTATGAAAAAGCAAGATGCAAACAGATTCAGATACGATTGTTACAGAAGTTTAAAAAATTAATGCAGTTTTATTTAAAGCTTCCATTGCACAATTACTGTGACTCAGCTGACACGTGGTAACTTGCTTTCTGAACCCTGTGACAAACGAGTACAATTGTAACTATGTTGTCTGAGAGCTGAAGCACTATGAAAGAAGTCTTTAACATGTAGTTGCACTTTCTGCCATTCCATATTATAGATGAAATGAAGGCTGGCCTTCCTCTACCTTTCCCATCCTATGCAAAGAACCTTCTGATATCTCTGTGCAAAGAGGTCCCCTTCCAAGTGAAGTGTATATCCTGCTGCCAGATACTACGCTCGCATATGGAATTAACAGCTCATTTCAGGTTTGTGAGAGACAGCTGTCTTTAATATGAACATCCGTAGAACGATAACAGATAGGCTGTTGCAGATGGAGTGAGAGTGCACTTCACTCATAAGAGAGAAGCGAAAATATACTTTATTGATATAAAACAGTGAGTTAACAAAGTTCAGTGGTAAATGCAACAGTGGTTTAACAAGATTCAATGGCAAGGTACACTTGATTATTTACTGCATAGGGGACAGGGTCAGGCAAAACTGTCAGGGAGACCTTCCCGTTGAGTCATGAGGTTCAGAAAGGACCCCCTTGCTTTCTAAACTCCTTCTCAGAGAGGAGTCTAGGTGTGGCTGAATCCAGTCCTAGTCCCAGACTTGATCAACAGTTTATGTCTAAAGGATTACATATGCACAATCAATCCTCTATATCGCTTAGCTAAGATTTCAAAGTTTAGCATGCTGTTAGTCACCTACCGAGGATCTGTTGCAGCAAGGCATCTCTCAACCTCAAGGGGTAACCTTGAGAGGTGTCCCTACTCAAGGGGAGATTCTGTTGTGCAGTCCACTGCCGTGCAGGAGAGCTCAAAGGGCTCTTGGGCTGCTCGCTATTTATGGGGGTAAGATGATTGCCTCAGTCATATTTGCATACCGATCACTGTGGTTAGGTGGGCACATTGCTCACAATAGCCTTTGGCTATTGTGGTGTTATCTGGCTCCTGAATCCACTTTGAGCCACACGCAGCTATCACGACCAGCATCTATTAAGACTGCCCCTGGTAGTTACTGCTTGAGCCGGGGGAGATGGCCACAGGAGCCAAATCTCCTGTAAAGGAGATAAAGGTCAGGTTGAGGGGAGGGAAGGGGAGCACACTTTCACATAGGCAGGCGTGTTCTTAGTGGTGCTAGTGGATTTCAGGGCATCTAGGACCATCTGAATGTTGACTCCCTGAGTAAACTATAAAACAATTGCCCCCTTTCCATATCTTTTACACCACCTTACCCCACGCAATCCACTGCAGAATGCTGATCGATGTCTGTATCCTTTTTGTTACTTTTTGTAACAGAACAACAGAACTCTTGTCTCCATTCCACTATTTCTAAGTTGGCAGCATTTGATTTCTAAAATGTACTGAGTCATAGAATCATAGAATCATTAAGGTTGGAAAAGACCTCTAAGATCATCGAGTC